TTGTAGGATCATGTGAGGGATCAATGTGTGACGTAGAGGGGTTTTAGGTTGGGTAGCATTGTTGTTTGGACTCTTCGGAACCTATTGGTTGGACCAGGTGCAAGACTGGTAGTCTCAGAGATGGTTTGGGAGTAATTATTTATTGGTCGGGTGAGGGTTTATCGGAAATCGAAAGGTTGTGGTGTGAAATGAAAGTGTATGTTCATGAATCTCGGGTTGTGAGTGGAGTATTAAATTAGTTTTGGGTAAGAACTCCAGTCGAATACCGTGCGTGTTTTGCAGAGGAATTCGTTTAAGTGGAATAGGAGTTGGGGTATCTATATGCCATTGACATTAATCGTAGGGTTCAAGGGCAATGAATGGGTTTAGTTTTGATAATAATTGAGACGTTGTGTTGTGTCTTGGGTTGGTTCTACCTACGATAGGGCCTCAGCGTGTTTGGAATCAGGAGAAGGTAGGTCGTCGGAGACCGGTATGTTATGAGACTGCAGTTGGTCTAATGGCATTCTTTTAGTAGTAAGTTTGGTGTTAATGTGGTTTGGGGTATTATCCCTAGATAACGTTGCTCTCGGAAGTCGCGTCGGGCTACTATGTGTTTGTATGTCTTTTGGCTCAGCAGTCAGGTAGGAGTTTGGTGATTCAGTTAGTTGGGACCAGGGAGGTCTCGACTGCCTTTGGGAAGTAGATAGGTGGCAACAAGACGAGTCAGAGTGGATTTAGTGATTTGAGCTTTATGTGAGGAGTCGCTTGTATTTCGGGGTATATGTTAAATCGCTCGCAGTTGGATTAAATAATCTCAAAGCGGTTGATTGGACCCTGTTGTGCAGCTTTCGTATGAGTCTAATTGTTGCAGTGAGTAATCTTCTACTCAAAGGATAATCTGAGCTTTCTGTCAAGTGTAAGTATTATGCAGTTGTATATGATCATTGTTTTGTTCCAATGGAAGCATCAAGATAATCAGGGTTGGAAGAATATTGTTTAGTCTGATAGTCATGAGGAAAGGGTATGATAGTTGTTCAGTGTGGGTGTTTTTTCGAGAAGGCAGATCAACTTGAGGTTTCGAGTTTCGGGAAAGAGAGAAGTGCTTTTCTGCAAGGGGTTTAAATGTCGTTCTTTTTCAGGTTTGGTAAGTTCTACTAGGGTTGGTTTCGGTTGCCTTGGGACGGCTGTAGTATTTTCAAGTTGTGGTAGTGTTATCCAGATTGTTGGATGTGTTAGGAGAGGTAAAGACGGATTTCGAGGATGAAATCTAATTTAAGTTGGGGAAATTTGTAATGCGTTGTTTCAATTTGTTCATAGTTTGGGGTTGGATAAGGCATTTCGGATGGTTTAAGTATTCGGTTTCTGTTTTGGAATCTAATGGCATTTTGGTAATCTGTCAGCTAGGGATTTTATGGAAAGCGGATGTTGTTTAGGATATCATATTGCAAGTATGAATTGATAATAGTGTAGAGCGTCTCCATACCTTTTTAAGGATACATAGATGGTTGAAATCGGAGTTGTATCGAGAGAGTTATGGCCTTTGAAAGAATTAGGGTTTGGGAAAAACCTTAGTACGTGGGGCGTACCGATGTGAATCTGGTTACGGAAGGCGTAGTGTAGAGTACACGCAACGTATGTGCGAGGCTTGGGTCGGGGTGCGAGACCTTGTACGATGGGCGTATGAATGATTGATTGAAAACCCTAATTTTAGGGTTGTACCCTATATAAGCATTATGCTAGCCTTTTTCTTCATTTCCTAAGTCAGCCCCCACTCTCTAAAACCCTAGAATTCATCCTTAAGCCTTCATGGTGGTGTCTGAATTACTCTGGTTTAATGATGTTTTACTAAATATTGGTTACTCTGGTTTTATGGAAACAGTATGTACTAACGTTTTATTAATCTATAAACAAAATTTTTTATGTCCTGTTTTTCGGGACGTTATATCTAAAAGTAAAATGACCAAGCAAATTTAATGATTAAATTATGGGAAAAGGATACAAATGCACTACGAACTTTTTAGTGTTTACCCGTTGAGTCCCTATAGTTTTTGTCGGGCTTTATGAGTTCCTAAACTAGGATATGACATGCTCTTTTAGTCTCTTTCAACTTGTAATAGCCTGTTTAGTGACCCTTTAGACCAAAAAAAATTATATTGTGCCCCTATAAAGCAAAAAAAAAAAAAAATTTAGGGATCAATTCGTACAAAACAACACTCATTTTCTTCTAAAGCTGATTGACACTTAATTTGTATTGATCCCCGAACTTATTTTTTTGGCTTTATAGGGGCATAATGTGAGTTTTTTTGGTCTAAAAGGTCACTGAATCGAGTGTTACAGGTCCATTGGAACTAAAAGAGCAGGTCATATCCTAGTTTAGGGACCCATAAAATAGGACAAAAACTTTAGGGAATCACCGAGTAAACCCTAGAAAGTTCATAGGGCATTTGTGTTATATTCCGTTAAATTATTGTTAAATTCTCATTGGTTACATGTATACAATAGTTGTAAGAAACATTTGAACATATATATATATATATATATATATATATATATATATATATAGGACAAAACTGTAAATTTGGTCCTTATGGTTTGCAAAATTATTTGGATAGGGTCCAAAAAGTTTCCAGCTTGCACAGAAGGTCCGAAATCAAGGTTTTTCTAGGCATTTGGTCCAAAAAAATTGAAATTACCTATTTACCATTTTAATTTCAATTTTGTGTTTTCTTTTCTTATTTATATTAATACTTTATGAAATAAAAATAAAAAAACCAAGAAGATGACCTCCACTTCACCCCTATCGGGACCTCTCTCTCTCTCTCTCTCCCCTCTCTTTCTCTCTCTCTCTCTCTCTCTCTCTCTCTCTCTCTCTCTCTCTTTCTCTCTCTCGTTGCCAGTACGATGGATTTAGATAAATTGCGGCCAGTGGGACGGAGTGTCGGTGGTTGATGAGAACGAAGCGGCGAAGGAAAAGGGGAGGACCTCTGGGGTTTGGCTAGATCGAAGGAATGAAGGGAAAAAGCAGTAAAGCTTCTTCCTGCTCCAATGTTGATGTGCGAAGCTGGAAAGGTTCGATCGGCGACGAGGGAGGTTGTTTCTGTGGTTTGACGAAGCCGAAGGGACGAAGGAAATGGTGGAGTGTCGCGAGCAACAACAACGAAGAAGTCGGGGTCCTCGGTGGGTTTGATCGACGAAATGGACGAGGAGGGTGCGAGGGGTGGTCGTCGGTCTCAGCGAGTGCTGCGATGAGGCGATCGGTGGTTGACAGATGCGTGATTGGGAACTGCTCTGGCAGCCTCCCATGTTCTTTTTATTTTTTTTTTTTAATTTTTAATTTTTTATTTTTTTGTGCTGGTGTCGTAAGAGGCAGCAGTAACTCCGATTGCTATTGTGTTGTTCTTCTCTTGTGTTCTTGTTTTGTTCTTGACTGATTTGAAAGGGAATATGCAGGTGTTTGAGTTAAGGCTTGGTCACCGAAACAGGAAGGGACAGAGGTGGAATGTTGGTAGGGTGGTGACGGTGTAAGGTGGTATCGGGGGAGGCAACAACTCCGGTTGCTGCTGTGTTTTCCAGTGATCTAGGTAGAAATGAAAGAGAGAGAAATGAGGACTTCGAAGGAGGGGGGAGGAGGAAGAAAGAGAAGGGAGAGGGCTCCGGTGGGTTTGGTAGAAAGAGAGATATATAATTCTTTTTATGCATTAATATTTATAAAATAAAAATATAAAAAATACAAAAAAGAAACTTAATGGGCAAAATAGTCAATTCAAGTGCTCCATGGACCAAAACCACAAAAATTTTGTAAGTTTAGGACTAAAAACCTACAAAAACCTTGATTTCGGACATTTTACGCAAGCTGGAAACTTTTTGGACCCCATCCAAAATTTTTTGCAAACCATAAGGACCAAATTTGCATTTTTGTCTCTCTATATATATATATATATATATATATATATATATATATATATATATATATATATATATATATATATATATATATATATAGGGTTAGGTTCATTTGAGACCACCTATATTTTGTGAGACCGTGAGACGCATTTTTTAATTTTTAAAATTTTTTTTTTGTTATTTTTAGTTAATTCATATTCCGAAAATAAATTTTAAAAAAAGAATTTTTTGATTTTTCCATTTATTTTGCATTTTAAAATTATTTTTAGAATATATACAGTGTAATATTCTATTTAGAATATTTCACGTATTTTTCAAAAAAAATAGAATTTTTTTTATTTATTTTTTATTTTTTTTAGTTAATTCAAGTTCCAAAAATAATATTTAAAAAAGAATTTTTAGATTTTTCCATTTATTTTGCATTTTAAAATTATTTTTATATTTGGTCTTACGGTCTCACAAAATTAGAATGATCTCAAATGAACTTGAACCTCTATATATATATATATATATATATATATATATATATATATATATATATATATATATTTGAAGTGCAAGGAATTCATTCAAAATAAATACTAGCAAGGTGCTAATCTGCATAACTCATTACCTTTTCTTAGAACAACCATTTTATAAAATGGACTCCCAAGGAGCTAGTCAAACTATAAAAACTACATCGATGAAAGGCTAAATTGGGACAAGATAACCAAAGGAGTCGATCTAAGCTATGTCATCTACAACAGTTAGCTATACAACTAAAAGAAACTGATATCATACGCTCGAACGTCCAAACAGTACTACTATATTCTATTTTACTGATTTAATTTTCTATATCTAGAAATAAAATTTCATAATCTAGAAATGTATTCCCTCCACATACCTATCTAACACTAGCTTGTGTCAGAAAACATCCGTGTCAAAACAAAACTTGATCCATCTCTGCCGAAAGGAGTTTCAAATGTGAACCTGGTTCGTTCATTTACTTTCAAGAAGAATAAAGTCATTCCATTATAATTCAAAAGGAGATGTTTTGGAATACAGAATATAGTGAGATACATGGCTACATGGACTATAAAAAGTGAAGAAACAACGCTTGCAAGCATCCATACTTAGCTTCATTCCACCTCCCTAAGTACGCTTCTAAATTAGACAACGCGAAAATGTCAAGTGCAGAAAAACGCTGCAAAACATGCGGAAGAACCCTAGTTAAGTTGTCTAGCTCACAATATGAAATCTGTCCCGTGTGTGAGACAGTCAGCCTGTTTAACAAAAAGCTTAAGGGCCGTGTTCTCAACCGAATTGAACAAATTGCCAATGTAGTAAGAAGTCCATATCAAGAAGATATTAAAACACTTCCCTCTCAAACATCATCACCATGGTTATCACGTTTTCCCCAAATCCGTACCAATCAGTTAACTCCAACACTTCCGTTGCAAAAAAGGAAGAAGGCTGTTCTATGTGGTGTGACCTACAATGGCCACAGAAAGAAACTTGAAGCCAGTGTTCATAACGTGAGGAGCATGCAACAACTACTTGTGAACAAACTAGGCTTTCAAAATGACTCAATCCGCATCCTTACAGGTACTTTTTCACTTTGAAATCGGACATGCCTCGTTCATGTGAAAGTGAAACATATCTAGATTTGTGATGATGTAACTTTTTCTTCAGAAGAGGAATCAGATCGCTCAAGGATTCCAACAAAACGTAACATACAAGAGGCATTACGCTGGCTAGTCCAAGGTTGTCAATCTGGGGACTCGTTGATGTTCTACTACGCAGGGCATGCATGCCAAATTCCTGATGAAGATGGAGATGAGATTGATGGGTATGATGAAGCGTTGTGCCCTGTTGACTATAGAGTGGCGGGAGTGATACTTGATGACGAAATCAATGCCACCATTGTAGCACCACTGCCTCATGGAGTAACACTTCATAGTGTTATTGACACTTGCTTCAGTGGAACTGTGCTAGATCTACCCTTTCTTTGCCAGATCAACCAGTGAGTGTTAATTAGCTAACACTTTTTGTCCCAGCTTTTGATTGCTGCCTACAAACTTTTATTGTCCTTAAGAAAGAATATTAACACATTAACTATAGTCGAGCAATTATTAAAAACAGTTTACTAACGTTTTCGAAAAGAGTTTTCATTTGTTTAGTTGGGATTTCTAGAAAGATAACTTCATGATGTTCTCTTTTGGAGCAGGGATGGACTTTATATGTGGGAAGAACACCAACTTACAAATAAAGGGACTCGTGGTGGCAAAGCATTGTGTATTAGTGCCTGTGCAGATCACCAGAACTCAGCCGATACATCGGTAAATATCATCTTCTTTTTGCCAAAATAGTAAGTGTGTTGTATATTGTTTCCCACTTTACACAAAACATTATAGGGTCCACAAATTAAATTCTATAAAGTTTAATTGATTTTTACATGGTTCTCATTTTATTACAACTTTACCATGTAATATGTATTGTTCTCATTTTATTACAACTTTACCATGTAATATGTATTGTAGTGTATGCTACAAAGTTCAATGAAATATATTTTTAAACAAATTAAAAAAAATTTGTTTTTTTCAATTGAATATTTTAATGGACATTGAAATCCAAATCGCTTGTATGTCAACATAACATCCCATGGAAGTTATAAAAAACGTTCGATATTAACTAGTCGGTGGACTTGGGTTAAATGATTAGTCACTTAGGTGGGGATTGATATGATGATTAGAGACCCTAAATAAATAATTCGTTGAATTTTGAAAAACTAAATATGAATAATATAATATGAAAGTTCATAAATACCATTAATATCATAATAAAATAGATTAATATGATTAACACAATAATAATAATAATTCCTCAAATAGTTTCTACTAAAATATAACTTCTTGAAAATGTTAAAATTTCATTGTTTGCTACTGTTTCGTTCATTTTATAGGTATGGATTATTCGCTAGATGCCTTTTAGTAGGTCGGGTAGCAACTATGGATTAATCGTAGGTTAATCGGGACCCATTCGAGAAATTTATATATAACACTGAATCTCACTATGATTGAGTTTAATCGATTGAATGTTAACTAGTCATTTAACCATTCTATAATTAAGTTATGCCTTGCAAATTCTTTTCCGAAAAAAAGTTATGCATTGCAGAAGCTCTTATATCATAAATAGTTAATTTCAACATTTAGATAACTTATATTTTGATTCTTTTTTTGTAACAAAAACGCTAATGGCCAAGAAATAAAGTACTAATGCAACAAAAACTATTTGTTGTTCCATAGTTAGGATTGTAGCTTCAAGCATGCTACTAATTACATATTTATTACTTTAAAGAGATTATCCTTATATATTAAAAAAGGATACGACGTTTCAATTCAAGATTAACTTAATAGATGATAATAAATCTGCAGGCTTTCACAGGCAATGCTATAGGTGCATTGACTTTTAGCTTCATTCAAGCTATTGAAACCGAAAGCAAATTGACATATGGAAGGTTACTTACCTTCATGCGCAAAAAAGTCCATCATGCTCAACAAGTGGTAGGCCGGTCTGTACCATTTGCATCTTCTCTGTCTCAGGTATTTCTCACCTCATTTGAATTCCATAGTTGTTATTTATGAGAGCATTCATATTCTTTTCGTAAGTATAAATTTATTTAAGGTGCCATGCATGAAACTTCAAGAGCATGGGCCTCAATGTCAGTCGTATCTATTAAAAAAACAACCGAGTATAATGTAAGACACACATATATTCTTTAGGCTGCCACCAGCAAGTATAAGACAATAATCTTAAAAATATTGCATATAATGAAATTGTTCACAAGGATACAATGCACACACACATATGGGAATAACATATTTGCATGTATGTCATTTACAAACCTAGTTCAATGGAATCTTGAATAAATCATCAGTATAAGTAGTATGGTTAATTATATATAAGTTTGTGCTGATTTCTTACATGGAGAAGTTTGGACTTTGTAGGAGCCTCAACTATCATGTTCAACAAGATTTGAGATTTACTCGGAACTTGTTAAGTTGTAAAGAAAATATACGTGTAGCCTGGATTAGCTAGAAATAAGGAGAATAATTTATGAAATGTACTAGCAAGTAATATATAGTGGTATGAACATTGAAGCTAATATGATTGGGCGTTACTTGGGACACTTCAAAAGTTCTGAGTTTTAATCATATTATGCATTACACGATTAATTATTTAGAATGTAATAACAAAACCAAGGGATTGTTCTAAAGTGCTCCTTTGGATACCTCAAAAGTTCTCCTTTAATTGGATACCTTAGAAGTTTTCCTCTTCACACCTTAAAAGTTTTGAGTTTGATTCTATTGTGATTTGCTCCTTGTTTTAATACAATCTTAATTTACTAAGAGCATACCCATTGGACAGTTCAATGGGAGAGTTCAATGTATTGACAAATCTAGTTGTTATTTAATGGATTAAGTTCTATGGTGACCTTATGCATGACCTAACAACGGTATCATTCTACACTCAATGTTACTTTGGCATAAATACATTTGGAGTTCAATTACCGTTAAAATCTTAACTAAGAAAAATAAAAGTTTTCTAATTCTTAAATAAATATTATAAAATTAGCTTTTGTAATGTCGCATCCAACTTGGTAACATTTAATGTATTGTAGAAATTTTTAATTGAGTTGTGTAAAATATATAATAATAATGTGCCAATACATTGAACTTTATATAGTTTAATACATTGTTGATGACCTAAAAAATAATAGAAATATAAGAAAAAATTATCATTTTCCTTTTTTGAAATACCAAATACACAAAAACAACCGAAAATTAAAAAAAAATAAAAAAAATAAAAAAAACATTACTTTCATTGACTTTGACTCGTGAGGTTGTAACTTATATATATATTTGGATCAAATAAACAAAAGCTGGAAACATATTAGTAGAATAGGCATTAACGAGAAACTATATATATGAATACTTCCTAAACACTTACAATATTTGATTGTATGCTAAAATAGGATTTAAAATCCAGTTCTACCGAATCATAACAAATATTTTAGCTCAATTGTTTATCCTAATTAAGGTAAAAGGAAGCCTTTTTTTTTTTTTTTTTTTTTTTTTGAGATATGCCCATTTGCACATCATAATTCATATACCGTAGTGGGTCGCACACAAAGTCCAAACAATAGATGCAAGAACTAGAAATTAAAGATGAACAATACTGTCATGTTTTATTATTTAAAGTGGTGACTTGTACTTAATCAAACTAATAAGACGGATAAATGTATTATTTGCATTGATGATTTTTGGAACATAAAGAAAAAACAAAACAGGTTGCATGAATGATTGTTGGCTAGAAATTATGAAAGATTCTATCAGGATTACAAGTGATATCTCTCGAATGATTGTTGGCTAGAAATTATGAAAGATTCTATCAGGATTACAAGTGATATCTCTCTCTCATTTTAAGGACACACGAAGGTTTCACGAGGTGAGAGACTTGACCAAAAACCAGCCCTCCTCTCTCTAAATTTCATCTCTCGCTCCCTCTCTTTCTCTCTCCATCTCTCTCCCTCTCCTCTCTTTCTAATTTCATCCAAGATTTATACTAGGTGTTGTTCTTAGTGTTCTTAAATAATTCAATATGAGAAAAGAAGTCTTGCATCGAGTTTGGAGCTTTGGGTGTGCACATGCTAGATGTATTCTTCCTTGGATCCTCCATATCATTTAGATGGTCAATTTCTTCTTATTCTACTTTATTTTAGTTGCAAGCACTTTTGTACATGGATCATATGACAAAAGAAGACGTGTATGTTTATTTTATGTATATAAGCTTCCGTTTTATGAAAGTTTTCTTCTTCCAACAGTGCTATCAAAGCCACTTGTATAGCGTTTTAGAAGTAACTTCATTTTCTTCTTATAATCAAATATGAGCAAGTTGTTGTACACATTTTAGGAATATCTATGTAGAAATCTTATGAGTTGATATTGAAGGTCTTCTTGAGAGTTTTAGCTTCTTCTTTCTTCTCTAAAATAAGATTCATGAAGGAGTTTTTAAACAACATTTAGTGGGTGTTTAAGTATCTAAAAATGATGTTTTATCTAAAAATTCAAGCCCAAAAATCTGTTCTGGACAACCTTTACCGTGGCTGCTTTTTATAGCATGCACGTTGTTTTTTAAGCTCTTGGGGCTATTTTGATTGCGTATTCAAAAAAGAAAGGTTTAAGATATGTTTTTGAACATGAAAATGTGACGTTTTAAACATGAAAATAGTGCACAAAAGGGACTATTTAGTTATACTTTTTTAAACAACAAAATGGGGCTATTTTTTAGCCTTCTAAACCTTAAAAATTTGGAGGTTTAGGTGTTGTTTTGGCTTTATTAAAAAAATGCCATTTGGAAGCTAAAATACATGAAAACTTAATTTTAAAAAACTAAGGTTCATGTTTCAAGAAAAAAATCTTATGGCTTGTAAAATAGATGAAGTGACATGTTATTTTATTTCAAAGAGTATAAAATGAAACTAATGTGCTTTCTCGAATATTTTGATACTCTTTCATGTTGATTGTTTGGATGGTTTTGAAATGAAACAAATACATGCAAAAACATCAATTTTGTTTATATTTTATGTTTTCAAAATTTATTTTGTTGACTTTTAATCATATAAACTAATATTGATTTTTAATGGTGTCAAAATCGTATGATTAATCAATTTTTACCAAAATATGCACTCGTGTATACTTGGCACTACAGATTTATAATATACAAAAATTTGTGTTTGTATGGATCCGATATCAGTTGTCTCTCTAGACCTATATGTGTGATGTTTGTTTGTATTGATTTGTTATTGGTTTGTAATAATAAATATGACTTGCACGTTGTTTGTTTTTTTTTTAATTCTATGGACTTGAAAAAACAGTATAGAAATAGATTAGAATTTATTTTTTAATTAAAATGTAAATGATAATGGAGACAACCAAAGGGAGTCATGGAGAATTCGTTTCAATAATGTGGATCATCCATGCATCACTTGGAGATGTTTTGTGGGAACCAACACACTTCTTATGGATTGTCCCTTGATTGACCATTTGTGTGTTAGTTCACCGGAAAATCAAGTAGGATATGAGGCATAATTTTTTTTGAAACGGTAAATCTAACCTACTCCTAAACTACACCTAAATCCACCTATGTCCACGACGGGACTTGAACCTTCAACCTCAAGTAGGGAGGGCAACACCGGATACCGTTGGGCTACAACACCGGATATGAGGCATAATTGATACCGTTATTTTCATGTTGTTGTAGGTTTATTGTTTTATATATTTTTTTAGGCTTCGATGCTAGAAAATGGTTTTGAAAATAATTCAATAATCACAAAGTTTGGTTAATAAGTTAACAAATAAAACTTGCAAATAAATTATAGAAAAATGTAAAATTAATTTTAAAAAGTTCTAAAATGGTATAAAATGATTTTCCTAAAATTAAAGTTAAAGGTTATAACTTGGAAAAGAAAAAACCCATTTTTTTAAAATGCAAATTAAACGCTATCGATAATAAGTACATACATTTGAGCTAATTTTCTTCCGATGTGGTGAAGTAGCGAAGCCTACACATCACATAGACATTAGTGATGGTGATGTGATATCCGTTGTACCCGAGATTTCTAGGCTGGATAACACATGAGACAATTTATAGTCAGGACCTATGAGACCGCTCTTGGCAAACCGTACACAAGAAAATTAGTGTTGAACAGATTAAGCATGCCAAATAACATAATAGATGTCAATGAATCCCACAAAGATCTAAAACTTTCATAGAAATTCAAATTAATAAAAACGTTACATACCTAAATGGCTTCCCTTTTCAATTACGTAACCTCCTCATAACTGGAAGCAAAATAAGGATCTTAGCCTTGTTGAAAATAATTTAAGCACAAGGGTAATTAGTTTAACAAGGATTAAGTCAAATAACTAAGACACTTTACCTTTTACTTTAATAGATACCACTAACTTTTTTTTGATAGATGTCAAACAACATAGACTCATCAATATCAAACCTTTGTTGAGAAACATTGCTCGAAAAGTACAAGCTTAATGCTTGAACTATTGAACATTCTGTAATATCGTTGGCTCAGTCTATATGACTTTGAAGCCTCCTCATGACAGAAGGTTAATGCATATAAGGTTGGAATTCCATTACATTTTAGATAGTGATATGAATTTGGAATTATGAAATGAGCATCATTGGAATAGTGTCCAATGGATCTATTCACAAAGGAAGGACCATAGAGATGCATACTATGCATGTTCATAACATGTCATTACTGATGTTATTTAAGTCCAGTGGTTAGATGATTACTCGAACCATTATACAATGAATAAATCCATAATTATCATGATGATTAAATAATAGAGATTTATTTATTTTCAATTGGTTTGAGACCATAGTTAATTCGTTTATTATTGTGTTTCATTTTGCATGTTTTATTTCGTGAATAATTTGATTTTTTTAATTCCACAGTCACTCACACTTTTGGAAATAAGTAGTGAATGAAGACTATCATAAATTGAAGTGTAGATTGTCTATAGGGATTAGACATTGCAATAAGATTGTTATAATGGTCATAACTACTTCGAAATGGAGATTTAAGTATTAGATAAATCGACACTTAGAGAATTATTTCATGGATTATGTCACGAGTAACATGATGTTATAAAGCGTAGTATCATGCATGATTTGGTGAGTAAAAGATACAGGTATATGAGTTAAAGTTTATTCATTCGTTTTGCCCTAACGAAAAAAGCAATATCTTTGGGCCCTTCGATGATTTCATGTCAACATCTGGAGAGCTTGGCTGAGTCTAGACTTAATTGATGTGTTTAATTAGTAGTCTGATTTCAGTTATTATAAATCAGGAAATCAGGAAACAGAATCTTGGACTATGAGATTGATTCTAATCCATGTCTCATGTCCATACGGTATCTTGTAGAATGAAGGAATATTTGATCACTTATCTAAAGGACAAATATCTGATCGGATCAGAGTTCGACAGTTGCTTCAGAAAACATAATTTGCTGATTAATTTAGAAGTGATACCTATAATTTATTTTTAGACTTATCCAAGTGGGAGACTGATGGATTAGGTGTCTAAGTGAATAAGTAATTAGTATAAACTTGAAGTATTAGCAAAATCCTTTTGGGTTGCCCTCAAACCTAGTAATTTACTAGACTGCTATTTGGAGAGAGAAAGAGAGAGAGAGAGAGAGAAAGAGAGAGAAAGAGAGACTGATTTATTAATTTATTATATAGTTAATAAATTAATTTGAAATCCAAATAAATTATTTATTAATATATTATGAGAATAATATATTAATAAAAAAGAGTAGTTTTTAATTAAGAATTAATCAAAAATTAATTAGAATTAATTTTGGGTTTAATTGGATTAATTAAAAGTGAAATGACTAAAGGTGAAAATGTTTAAAACTTGAACATTGACTAATTCTAGAACCTCCGTAGGAGGAGGGATGAAATTCTGGTTGGTTATAAGGTTTCTAGAATGGTTTCTAGAGCTTTTCTTAGGCTCTAAGTAAACCTGGATGCCTTAGGGGAAAGCAAAAAGGATAAGACTTATCTAAGGATACTGCCTTATCCTTAACCTCCCTATCACCTATATAAACCCTCCTAAGGGTTCACGATTTCATTCAACCCTTCTATAAGAGGTAGAAATGAATATGATTCTTCCTCTCCTCTCTCTTCTTTAGCCTCAACTTGCTAGAGTTTGGGTGTGAGCCATTAGAGGCATTAGACGTATGGTGCTTCCTTTTTAAAGCTAGATCAAGAAGGAATAATTGTTTGCTTACTATAATAAACATAAGGTAAGTATTTTCTATAACCTTTGAGTTATTTTTGGAAAATAATAATGTACTTCTAGGTTCTTGATATTCAATAGTTGCTTGCAAATCATAGTGAGAACATAGATCCTTTAGGGTGCATATGAACTTAAGGTTTATATTATTCCGCCAACATTCGATTTTCATAACATATAAATCACATAAATAACAATATCCAGATGCATCATCAATAAATGTAATGAT